CACTTGAATGCAGGTATTGTTGAACCTTCGGGAAGTGTAGAGGCATTAATTCAATAAAACAACTGTGATAGGATGTTGCTGAAATGTGTAGCTCTCTGTCTGTTTTTCTAACACAATATGAGTTTTCTCCTGAAAATGAAAGCCTTCCTGTCCATGTGTACATTTTTATACTAAAATAATAATTCCTGTATTTATAGGCTACATTTTTGTAAAAGTAGGCCATTTTCTTTATTTGTGATAAAACTTTAATAACCTCAATGGAACAACTACTGTAAATAGGATTATTCACAAACACATTTCCAGTGGTGGAAGTATTTAAACAGTTTACTCAGAGCCTGAATTGGACCAAAAAAGGTACCTAATTCAGTACAACCCTAACCCTAAACACAGTTTTTAACACTGTTTTTTAAAATCTATGTTAACAGGACATTTTCAGTGCTGTTGTCTAGCTGTGTGTTTATACAGAGACACAGTTACACAGGTATTTAGGAGTAGGTCAACAGCCTTCTTGTACACAGGTGTTAGAAAACACAGAGGTCCAAAAAGCTGAACTGGCTGGTTGAATCAAAGCGAAGTCATTTCTAGACTATTATTTCACAACTTTCATTGTAAACCCCTCAGAAAATACACAGCGGTCTTAATCTCAGTGACCTCAGTGACGGGTACGGCCAGATGTCCCTGAGATTAAGAAGTAAGAAGTAAGGGTCCTCGTGGACAAAAATCAGAAGCGCTCGGAACGTGTGCGTACCACAGGCCCATTTCAAGTAAAAGTAGTGATACCACACTATAAAAATATACTCCATTAAAGACCTGCATAAAAACTTTAAGTAAAATACTAGTAAAAGTATCTTTCAGAACGGTTCCTGTTAGTATTATTGTACTGTTGGGTAATAATTATTGATGCATTAACATTTAAGTACTTAATGTCATTTATTTTACAACTGAAGAGTTGCAGATAATATAGAAATGTGACTGTGTTCAACTTACATATATATTCACTGTTACTGTTTGTATTATAAGTCTTCAGCTCTGTTTTATTCCACCTGGGAACTAATATCAGTTCACTCATGGACACTGACTGTACATCTGTGGCTTGTTAACGTGAAGACAGTTTTACACACTTTGTGTTGTGCAGAACGTTTAGACTTCAGTCTCTTATGTTGTTGTTGTTGTTGTGTGAGATATTTTTAAAAGGGAGTTATTGTGCCTGAAAGGTGTTATTTAATCACACTACACTATGTGTCACCTCTGTCACTTACATTTACATTTCATGATTTAAATGTCACTGTTTAATGTTTGTTACTTCCCTCCTGTGGTAATTTATTACCTTGTGTGATCGTCTCGACCCTGTTTCCAGCAACAAAAAAGTATTTTAAGGATTTGCATGAAATTTATTGAAGTTTATTTATTTAAAAGGGACAATGCACATTAATTAGCACAAGGATTTAATTCTACTATGTAAATGTGCCAGATTTAGCCATACAGGCTCATTTTCAGCTGCAGTCCCTGTTGTGCACATTCATGCAAATAGGATCACATCCTTTTTATATTTATAGTTCTGGGATGATCATAAGAACATTTGTTCTACGCCACTGGCCAGACTTTTTAATTTTGTCGTATAATAAGAAAGCAATTCACTAATTCTTTTGGGAAATTTGGTAATTGGTGTATAATTTTTTAACTTTACTTCATATTAAAACTGAGCTTTTTAAATACTCCCAATATGCAGAATGAGCTGCA